GGGTAGCCCCTGGGCAAAGCTTTGCTCCCAGCCCCACCCCCGTCTCCACGGGGGGGGCGGGTGCTTGGACAGAGGTTGGGGGGGGCACAAGGTAAAAAGTCCGGGGATCACTGCCCCTAAGCAATTTCCAGCCAAAGAGCTAACGTGTTCCAGCCCTCCTATGAGCTAGGTCAGTATCAGGGAGAGGCTAAGATGCACAGCCTCCCAGGTACTCAGGCTCTTCGCTCCCAACGATTTCAGTAGGGACTAGGTGACCCATGTCAGCCTAGATCCTTATTTTCACTCACTCAACTAAGAGCAGAACCCGTGTGGCCTGACTCCCAGTCCTGCATCTCAACCCCAGGGACACGTTCTGCCCGCCCTTGGGGTTTGAAACAAAAAAAAATCTCCAGCCCTTTCCACTTTGGCTCCAGTGGAAGTCCCGGCTTTGAGGGCCCATTAAACAGTCTAATAAGCCAAGGCAGAACTGGATAGATGTTACGATGTGGGATTGGTTACTTGGGAAGCCAAGTAGCTGCCTGATTAAGCATTTACATAATTAAATTTCATCTCAGAGCATAATATAGGTCAGAGCTTGCAGACTTACAGCTCCCACTATCAGCATGAAGAGGCTTTTCTTCCTCCTGGCATGGGTAAGATAATAAAACCTGAAGAGCCGGGGTTAGTGCCCGCATGGGGCATGTCACTTCAAAGCCGCCCGTCCCGGTGACCAGGTGACGTTCTCCGTTGAAGTGTCGTGTCGAGGGCACACGCAGGGTACGTGTGCGCTGCAGCCGGGAGGCGCAATGCCCACCTTGCACGGGCAAAGCGAAATGAGCAGGGTAGCTGCAGTTGCAAGGCGGTGGCTCGCACTTGGTGCTGGATATTCCCACCCACCCCCCTACATCAATTCTCGGGCAGGTGGTCCAAGGTGCCGGCAGTGCCACTGTAACCCTATTGCTGTATCTTCTAGGCGCTAACCAGAGCAGAGCTAGCCCAGGGATGGGCAACAATTTTTGGCCGGGGACCACTTATAAAATTTTTGAAGTGGCCCTGGGCCACCCCAGAAGGGGTGGGGCCTAAACTGGAAGGGGTGGGGCCAGGATGCTTCTGGGCTACCCCACCCCCAGACCATGACTGGTCTGGGGGAGGGGAAGCCCCTTTGCCCCCCTTCCCATTAGGCACCCATGCCCCTGGCAGGATGGGAAGAGGCTTCGCATACTCCCCTACCCCCAGGCCAATCAGGCGCACAGGGCCGGGGCAGGGCGAAGGAAGCTTTGCACAGCTCCCCCGCCCCCAGGTGCCTCCTTCCGCCCTGCGAGGAGCACGTAGCACTTTGAAATCAGGGCTTGGGGGCAGGGCAGCGCGTGACGTCTCCTCCCACCCTGCAAGGAGTGCCTGGAGCTTCAGAGCGCTGCGTGGTCCTGCCTGGGGGCGGGGGAGCGGCAGGGATCCACGGGCTGGATCAACCCGCTCGGCCCACCCATGAGCTAGCCCGTGGACATCGACTTGGGCTGACGTTACACCTCCCATCTGTAGTGCAGACGTTCCCTTGCGTCAGACCAGAGCTGTGGACTCCTGGTCCGAAATCTGTCAGTTCTCCTCTCTTTTTTGGACGGGTGGGAATTGGCTAGAGGATCCTCTATGGCCCTTCTCCTTCAGCGTACCCCCTTCCTTTGGCTTAGAAAAGCCGGCCCCCTCTGCAGAATAACCTTGCTGCCAGCTCTGTGCCGAGCTCACGCTCATCTTTGTACGGCTTGGATCCCTCTCCTCTCCCCACCCCCTCACCTGTCGCCAGTTTGATTTCTAGAGCGGTCCGGATCAAGGCCATCAGCGTGGAAGTGAAGTGGACCGTTAAGTCCTGGTCCGAGATCGGCATGTTCATCCGCACCAGGCGCTAGGAACAAAGCAGAGTTGCTGTCAGTGCCTGCTGGCGCTGTCCCTCCCCCACCTCCCCCCTCTCGGGTTATCATCCAGCCCCCGGATTCTTACAATAGCAAAATCACAAGTCGGTGCCGTTTGGAAAGGTTAACCGTTCGCGTGCTGGTGGGGAGGAGATGCACCTCGGCCTGAGGGATGGTGGCTCCGTTTCTGGGATGCTGCACAGCTAGAGGGCTCACTGCCATATTCTGAGATTGGGGTTTGCCAGCATTCATGCTGCCCGCAGAGGAGTAGATTTTGTCTCAAGCTGGACTGATTTAACTTCCCTTGGCAATATCCCGTGTCAGGACCTACCAGCCTATCCTGATCTCCCAGCACGTGAGCTCCAGGTGTTCCAGTTGGGGCAAAGGAAGTCCAGCAGCAGATGAGGCCTTCCCTCGGCCATCTTCCACGTGCTACTGAGGCTTCAGCCAAACCAACCTCACCCTTGCTGTATGTGCCCAAGGAAAGCCACTCAGCTAGGGTCTCCATGGGCCAGACAAGAGGCATAGCTTGCCTCTGCTCCCCATGACACGACACATTAACGAGAACACTCTGTGGCTGACTCCAGCCGCATGCCTCCCCCTAGGAGTAACCTATTCCACGTGGGTGCTTCTCACAGTGAGGCTAGACCACAGAGACAAAAACCACCAGCAGGACTTGGCTGTAGCAAGTAGGTCTGAAGGGTGAGGAGATGGACGCTGCGAGGGCAATTCCTTTCTGGGGTAAGCAAGTGCAGCGCCACTGATGAAAGTAGGTCTGAAGGGTGAGGAGATGGACACTGCAAGGGCAATTCCTTTCTGGGGTAAGCGAGTGCAGCGCCACTGATGTGGGAGTAGCTGTGCCCGCTTACCCCAGCTAGGCCTCTGGCCCTGCCCTTGCATCCTTGTAGCTCTTGTCTACTCTAGAGACCTTACTGGTACAGGATGTACCACTGCAGCTGCACAGCTCTAAGGTCTCCTGTGTGGATGCTCTATGCCAGGGGTAGGCAATCCATTTAATAAAGAGAGCCAAAACAGCGGTGGGGAAAAATGTGAAAAGCCGCATCAGAATTGTCAAGCAAAAAAAAAAAAAGAAAAGAAAAGAGGCTGCCCCTTTAAGAAACAAGCTTAGGCTTTTTGGCCATATCAGCTCCCGTCAATGGGTGCCATTTGGAATCATTGGCGGGAAGCCGGGGGTCATTTGGGGTGGCACAGGAGTGGCTTTGTGAGCCGCGCTTTTGGGGGAGAGCCGCGGGTTGGTGAGGACAGAGAGCTCTCCTATCGATAAGATTAAACCAACGCCAATGAGTAGCGGTAGTTATGTCAGTGGGAGTGCACCTCCTGCCAACATGGCGCTATCCATACCAGTGCTTCTGTCAATGTAACTTCTGTTGCTTGGGGGGTGTTTTTTCACACCCTTGAGGGAAATAATTTATACAAACAAAAGTACGAGTGTAGTCGTAGTGTTCGGCTCTTAAGTCACTCGAGGGCTTTTGAAAGTGTTACCCAAAGTAGTACTCTCAGAGTTTCCAAAGCAACATACAAATATGAACCAATTCTCATGACACGTCTCTTATTGTGAGGCTCTTTTTTATGGATGGAGGAAAATGAGGCATAGCAAAGTGAAGGGAGTGGCCTGCAGCCACCGAGCAGAGGAGGGCCAGGCTTGGGAAGAGGATTCTGTAATGGTTTGGACTTCCAGTCTTTTGCTCTGATCCTTAAACTGCTCTGCATGGAAAAGGACTTGGCCGTTACATTCCTGGTCTGTCCTCCTTTCCCACCATCAGGAGAAAAAGCCCCTGTTCACTTCTAGCAATGCAAAGTAGGGTATGCCTCCACCACAGCTGGCAGTGTGCACCCCGGCTTGGATGGACAGCCATGCACACTCTGTGTCCGTGTGGACATATTACAAATTGCAGCGTGGTGACCCACCTATGTACTGAGGGTGTCAGGTGAGACTGGTAAGGAGGGCTGGCCCAAGCTGCTGTCTGTGCCGCTGTGGCCATACTACTATGAGACTATTTTAGTCTGTCTGCTCATGCGAGGAAGCACCCATGCAACCGCTGTTCGCTGCAGCCTGGGAGTAGCTCCTGGGAAGTCAATGGAAGTGTAGTAGAGTAAAGCTTGCACAAGGGCAGAAATCTGGCCAGTCCTAGAATTCTATGAAGAGCCCTCAGGAGTCATCGAGTCCAGCCCCCTGCCCAAGGCAGGACCAACCCCAACTCAATCATCCCAGCCAGGGCTTTGTCAAGCTAGGACTTAAAAACCTCTAGGGATGGAGATTCCACCACTTCCTGTTTGAACACCGCTGGTTGCTAAGGAAACTGGGCCATGAACATCTGCGTGTGCTTGAATCCGATCCTGAACTAATAGCTCATCTCATTAGCTTCATCAGCCCTCTACTTCTAACCCTGCCAGCTACTTCGTGGCCACATGCCGAAGGCTCCCATGCACAGTGCCAGGTGTGGGGGAAGAGCAGTTACAGATAAACACTCCATAGCTCAAGAACCCTACAGAAGGGCATGAACAGGAGCGTTAGGACTTTAAATATTATTCTGAGCCCTGCAGATGTAAAGCGGGACACGCTTCTGGCACAACCATTTCTTATGGTGAACAAATGCTGGAAAGAGCTGAGACCATCCCAGTCATTTTACACGGTAGCCTCTGATCCTATTGTCTACTGGGGCGAAAGGCTGCCCCCTACAGGTTTACTCTAGTAATAACTGAGCTAAGAGAAACCAGCACAACCTAACAGCACCCCATTTCAAACAAGGACAAGGGGTTCTCCTCGGGCTATTGACAGGAGGGAGAACAAAATCAAAGCTGAGAATTTCCTCCCCATGTAATTCAAAGGCAAGAACAAATGCTGGCAAAGCTACAAACGTTTTGTCTGGTCCATTGTGTAAAATTGGGAAATTGGTCCGTTGGAAAATCCTCCTTCAGCACGCCAACGGTTAGAGCAAAACCAGTGTGTTCAATGCAATCCAATGGTTCACTTACAGAAAGAGCCCCACTGAATCCTACTTCAGTGAGAGAGAGAGAGAGTTAAGAGATGGCGAGAGAAAGAAGACGCGTGGAAATGAAGACCAAGCAGGTGAGAAATAAGTCCTCCTAGGAGAGCTCCATCCTCCAGAGAACTGGGACTGCAAACCCTGGGTCTCCCCATAGACGTCACTGAGTTAACTCCCAGGAGCAGCTGTGCTTATGCACAGAGGGCAGGAGACACCTCACGCTGAGAACTGACATGTCGTCGCTGCATGGAGGCCCTCCCTCACAAGTCTGATGGCGTACGTAGTCCCCTGCATCTCCACACACCAACAGATGTGGGAGCAACACGGCTGAGTAAATGGGAATGCACATTTACATGGAAACAGGTGTTGACTGGGAGTGGTGACAGGCCCACCTAGACATCTGGCCCTCCATATTCATTCTGTCCCTCACTCTGCATCCCATTGTAACTGTACTTCTCAGTAACTGGAGTGATGTGACTGGCGGCCTTGCGTAGCTGAGACCTAACAGCCTTTCAGCCATAAAGTGCCAAGCAATAGGATGCTCTAATGCCGTCACTGTTAGAGCAAGCCAGTGAGGGTGATTTCTGACTGGACGTGCTATCAATACGTGCCAGCAGTTTTCATCACAGCTCTCAGAGCACTTTACAGATATTAATTTGGAATGAAAATCTGGTTGTTCATGGCAGAGGTGAGTGTGGCGAGTCCCAGCAGACTCAACCAGACTCCCTCCCACAGGAGCACAAGCAGCAGAGTTAGCACCAGAACCACTGCAACATGCTCCGGGGCCACGGCCCTTCGCCCCTAGTCGGTAGAGAGGATGGGCAAGGTCAAAGCCAATCATCCAGCTCCTCCCACAGTCGGCAGTGAAGCTAGCGGGGATCAGTGTGTATGCCCTCCAATGGGTCTCCAGTTAGTCTCTTTGCACTCCCTTGCTCACCCAGGCACACTCTGGCCATCAGCCTCACTTCACTTGTTCCCATTAAGCAGAGAAGTGATGTGACTTCCCCAAGGTCACAAAGAGAGCCAGTAGCAGAGCCGGGAAAAGAACTCAAGAGTCCTGACTCCCCTTCCCCAACTTGAATACTCCTTCTCGAAGAGCAGAAGACAGGATAGTAACTTGTAATATACATGTACAAAATGTGCCCACTACCTCTCAACAGCAAGATTTGGGTTTGTTTATTGCAGTGGGATTAAGTCATCTACTTAGAGCAGCCGCCCCTTTCTGAATGCATTACTGGAGAAAAGGGAGAGTTAAAACCAGATCCTCTCTATGGCAGCCCCCCTGTGATGCTGAATAAGCTCTCAGGGGTCACGTTTGTTAGGAGAGACGTTCAGTCCTGTCACTAACTCCACAAGCATTCAGCTCAGCGTGGGTCTGCTCAGGCTTCTAGAAGCGTTTAGTCCACACAAGCCACGTGCACCAACTGATTCCCGTTGTCCTATCTTGCAGCATAAACAGCAAATATCTCTTTAAAGTAACGTTTTGCTCCAGTTACATCACCTCACCGTCCTATCCTTCATAAGCACCAAATAGTCACCTTCTTCTTTCTCCCATTTAATAGCCTCATCTTCCTGCAGTGCTGCTAAATCTTGCCACACAGGGAAATCATAAAATCATAGGACCTGGAGAAGTCACCTAGTCTAGAACCCTGCACTCAGGACAAAGTATTACCTAGGCCATCAGGTGTTTGTATAACCTGTTCTTAAAAATCTCCAGTGATCAAGAGTTCACAACTGTGCAAGACAATTTATATCCAGTCTTGCAGTTGGGAAGTTTTACCTAAGATCCATCTCTAAACTTCCCTGGCTTCAATTTAAGTCCATTGTTTCTTGTCCTATCTCCACAGGTTAAGGAGAATATTTTTTCTCCTGTCTCCTTGTAACAACCTTTTATGTACTTGAAAACTGTTATGTCTCCCCCTTGTTCTTCTCTTCCCCAGACTAAACATACCCAGTTCTTTCAATCTTTCCTCATAGGTCATTTT